GTAAATCAACTCAGAGTTCAGGGTTAGACTCAGAGTTTGTTGAACCTCCTACCTGGAATACCCCTCTGATGGACTGTATTCATAATAAATAAGCCACAAGGACAGATCAGAGGGCTCAGCGCGAATATAGAGCACCTGCTACAGCCGTCTGCAGTCATTTTGACTTGACTAGCGGACTTTATTACAAGCTGATTGGCTGTTGAAACAGGTGACGTGCTTTACATTCTAAAACCAGCCACCAGCAATTTGACCAGCTGAGCTGCAGGTGACACCATCAGCCGGCTTGAGTTAAGCTGAGATGGGTCAGTTCACACCGCTGCAACTTTTCTCTGCAGCACTCTAAAATGGTTTAGTCTCGTTGTGAATCTTTGTCCTGAACTGGGTTTTATTTAAAAGTGTATCAAATGACTGTGTGAAAGTTGTCGCTCACAGTGATGATTCTACACGTTAAGACAACTATCAACGGACTGTGCAGATCCCCTCAGCTTTACTGAGCGTTTTACAGAGTTTCAGCTCATTGTTTAGCTGCCTGGCCCGCAACTTAGCTGCTTTGATGCACTCACACTGCTCTCACTGCCATTTTTGTAACAGCATGTAGGCCACGTGGGGGTAAGAAAAACTAGTTATGATGATAAAGTTGACCTGCTGCTTCTTACTGAAAACAGCTGGGGGTAAGAATAAGCAGTGAGAATGAATCAAAATAAGTAATGTTGTGGACCACACAGCTAAAATATGAGATGAAACTCGATACTTTGGCTACATAAAGCTGAGGGCAGCTGCACAGTCGGGTACACTTGTGTTGAGCAAGTATACACACACCAAAGATTCTGCCCAACTCCTTATACATTTTTTAATAGAATCAAGTACACTCCTGTTTAGTTTTAGGACAGTTAAATTATGAATTTACAGTTATTTTATCCATATATGAGTCCATTCTTACCTGCTGCCTTCTTGTACTCTGCACTAAAGGCAGGTATTTCTCATCTCAGCATCATCTTGTACAAAGACGACAGTCAGTTTGTAGAGACTTGTTTTTTTAATGTCATTTGTGGCTTGCAGAAAAAAATTATTATACACTTAAAAAGAAATCTTTCCTGTCTACATACCACTTAAGTTAAAACAAACAAAAAAGTTAGGCAAAAATTTTGAATCTGAAAAACAAAGTGATTGGTTGATAAACATATTACTGCATTTATTAATCATATAACAAGTCTACAATCATTTACGTGTCCAGTATTTGCATATTTGAGATATGTTTTTAAGAGAGCAATTAAAATGAAAAATGTGTTTCAGTGCAGCAGTTTTAATGTGACAAGGTGACATTTTCAGACAAACAGCAGGAGTCAACACTTAAGGAAAAAAAAAAAAACAATGTAAGCAGAAGACAAATTAGACAAACACAATGCTAACGTCTGTCTCTCTTTTCTTTCTTTTCTCCCGCAGTTACGACTTCACCCCACTCGACTCCTCAGCAGTGTACGTTCTCAGCAGCATGGCTCGTCAGCGCAGGACCTCCCTGTCCAGCGGGGGCGCCGTCAGTCCAGACTGTGACAAACTTGAGCGCTCCAGCTCCCCACAATCCTCGACTGGCAAATCAAACAGGAGCCACACCTCAGGAACAGCCAGCGGTGCCACGCCTACGAAATGCAAGCGGCCAATGAATGCCTTCATGCTCTTCGCCAAGAAGTACAGAGTGGAGTACACACAGATGTATCCTGGGAAGGACAACAGGTCAGTCAAAGTCAATGAGAAATATTCTGTAGAGCAGGATTATTTAATTTAGGTAAATTAATTTCTATATCACCGTGTCACATCTGAAGGTACGCTCACATTAGCCTTCTGTTCAATGAAATTTCCTCACACTCAGTCTTGAAAGAGGATCTGATGTCATGAGCAGGGTGATCACAAAGAGTGAACAGACCATGACAGCAATGTTACAGTTTTTGGTCTGAATGAGAGGGGGAATAAAACTCGTAGGGCGGAAGTGTAATGTGACCGTACAGTTACAGTATAGTCTCATTTTGAGGATGACACGTTAGCTTAGGAAGCAGAATGAGGGAAGAGACGGCACAGTGTGTATTGACAGTTTAAAAACAGAGACACTTGTTGTGTCTAACGTTACTGAGTTGACCAGGCCAGAGCTGTCGAGCCCAGAGCTACAGATTAAAGGTCTGTAAAATTATACGTAAAGCTTTGTTGTCCAACACAAAGAGAATGCCTCATGAACCTCCGAGAGAGCTTGAGGGTAAGGATAAAGTAACACAGTAACTCTAGGTATGTGTGGTAGCTAACCTGAATGAGCAATGCTCTCTCCTCCTTTAAGACCCTCCATTAAAGAGCACACGAGCAATGCATTTGTCTCCAACTGAGAGTTGGACTGGTTTATTAAGCCAATCATGTCCCAGCCGGTGTAGCTTCCATCGTATGTGAGACAGAAGTCCTCCCTGGATACATCTAGACAATGTGTTATTTTTCTTTCAAATTAAATTATTCTAGTGTAGGAGTAGTGTCCAGCTTTGCCCTCAGTGTAATTATATGTTCTTGGACCATTAAACATTTCATAAACCAATTCTTCATTTAAAGCCACAGGTCCCAGCTTCAGCACTTGAGGTTAATAACTAAAAGAGCAGTGTCTAAACTGTGAAATTTAAGTTGTATTAATTATTTTTATTACATGTGACATACTATACTATTACTTTTTATGTGATTGCTGTACTGTGACTGTACAGTAGGACTTTTTTTCGCAAGCATACTGTACTATATTGTGTTTTTTTTTTTTCTTTTCATGACAGCATACTATGACCTTTTGTTGTAGCAAACCATGTTACGATTTTTTAAAATGACAATTTTCATGATTTTTTGATGACAGGTTCATGGCATACCGTTCCATTTTTTTTTCCAAATTACATTTTTTATGACTTTTTATGACTTTTTTTACTCTTTTTGACTATACAATGACATTTTTGGCATACTATGCTATGACATTTATACTGTGACATTTCTTTTGGCATACTATACTATGACTTTTTTGACATTTATACTGTGACATTTTTTTTGGCATGCTAAATTATGACTTTTTTTGGCATACTATACTATTACTTTTTGTGGCGTACTATACTATGTTTTTTTTTTACATTTATACTGTGACCTTTTTTTGGCATACTATACTATAACTTTTTTGACATTTATACTGTGACCTTTTTTTGGAATACTATACTGTGACTTTTTTGACATTTATACTGTGACTTTTTTTTTGGCGTACTATACTATGACATTTTTTACATACTATACTACAACTTTTTTTTTGGACATACTATACTATGACATTTTTTGACATACTATACTATGACTGTTTTTTGGCATAATATACTATGACCTTTTTTTTGGCACATCATACCATGACTATTTTGGCATATTATACTATGACCTTTTTTTGACATACAATATTATGACTACTTGTTAACTATACTATGACTTTTTTGCATACTTTATTAGTTTTTTGGGCATACTATACATTTTTTTTTTTATTGTATACTATATTATTTTTTATATGACATTTTCCATAGTAATCAATACAATAACTTTTTTCCATAGCAAAATATACTGATATTTTGTGGCATAATATGATATTTTAAGTGACACTTTTATGGCGTACTAAACCAGACATTTTTTTTGGCATACAATTCTATGATTTTTTTAATGAAATTTTTCTAGACAGATTGTGTTAAAAGAATAATGTGTGTAATGTGATTCTTTGATCTTTCTCTCACCTTACACTCCAGAGCCATTAGTGTGATCCTGGGTGATAAGTGGAAGAAGATGAAGAATGAGGAGAGGAGGATGTACACCATGGAGGCCAAGGCTCTGGCTGAGGAGCAGAAACGACTCAATCCAGACTGCTGGAAACGTAAAAGAACCAACTCAGTAAGGACCTCAGTCACTGAACTACAACATCTATCAGCTCCCTGTTTTTCTTGTTTATAACATCCACACTGCACAGTGACCCTGCATGTCAAGTCATGTTTACCCAGTCTTTGGTTTCAGTCATGTGTCCACCCTACCGTACTAACAGCTCATGTCGTCTTTCAACAGGGTTCCCAGCAGACCTAGATAATCTCCCAGAATTCCCAGCTGCTGGCGTTTGGGCCCGTAGTGTTGCTGGACAGAGTCTGATGGACCGCTTGATGCCTCTTTGCTCTCCTGTATTCTTGAGACTCAACTGTGATGCTGAATTCACTTGCTTTTTGTAACCTTGAGACATTATTAGAGACAAACCAGAATTATGAACTATAAACAAAACATGTAATCTAGTCACTAACAGTGCATATATTTTCTTATATCTTTAATTTCAGAGACATCTTATTCCGCTGAAATAAGAATGAACCTTCTCAGTTATATCAGGTTATTTCATATTCAAGGTTGAAACATGAGAGTCTGTGGTGCTATGCTTCAGTGTAGAAGGAGCAGTAAACAACAAGTGTCTATTTATAATTGTAAAAAAAAGGGGAATTTTAGCTAACGTTTTTCACAACTGTTCAAATTGATTATATTTGTAAGATTCAATATATTGCACAGATTGGTAACCCTTTCATACATTTTGTAATACAGTATATATTCTGCGGCTGAACTATTGCCAACAGTCTGTGATGCTGCCCTGCCAAGTCTTTAGATATTTGCCTGACCACCCGGCCATGTGATGAGAGGGCTTTCAGCATGTGGTGGTGGGTTTACACTCAGTCACAAAGCACTTCAGGCCTTCGCTGTAAGTGTTTGTTTCTTTTGCACTTTATATAAATATGTAATCTAATCCTTTACAGCCATTGTATACAGGTGGAAAACAATTGTATGATATAGCTAGTATCTCGACAGTTAGCCGGTTGACACAATCATGGCCCAGTCGCAGTGTTCTGCTTTCAGGTTGCTCTTGAATTTTAAGTGCTTTGTTCATAATGTACAGGTCTCACAGCCCCGACAACCTCTTGCACAAAATATCCTTGTATCATATTATAAATATTTTTTTTTTAAACTTGCAACTTATCAAAGTTTGTTTGGTTCTTTTTTCATAAACTGTAATCACAACCTGTGGGGATGCTTGGCTCTATGTTTGAATACACGTGAATGTGTTTTTGCCTGTCTTTTGTTTTGAGTAACATCCTCTTATGAACATGTGCCTTAAGCGATACGCTGAACCAAATCTCATCTGAACATCTGACTACTAAAGCCCAGTTAAAGTGGGTGTTCTTTTTCTGTTTCTCTGGGCCACATCAAAACCACCATGCACATGCAGTATGCTAACAAAGCCTCTCAAGGAACGATTGTGCCGAAGCAAGACGATGAGGACTGAATGAGGACAACGTCAAAGGTTTTAATTGTATCTTACTCAGTGAAACTCGAGCCTTGTCTCCCGGAGATGAAAAAGGATCTGAGAGGAAAATGAAAGGAAGCATTATCATAAGCTTTCAACTCAAAGGAAGACTTGCATTTTCACAAAAACAACCAGTGATTTAGACAGATGTACAAGATTTGCTTAATTTCCCTTGTGGCATGATGCTTGCACCGGCAGAGTGAAATTATATAAACAACTTGCAGTACCATGCAATATTATTGTCTGTTTCAAGACATCATTTGCTTTGTTAGAGCCAGAGGGCGCCATCACTCCACTTTTGTTCAGTGGAAGACATGCTGGTCTCCCCCCATGATAAAAATGTCTCCCATCTCAGCCCTCACTTTGTATAAGATAACATGAGGTCAACACAGAGATAACATTAATAATACTGTGTCTGTGGATTCGGAAATTATACCATGTTGCAGTTGCATTAAAACAGCTGTAAATGATCAGCCTTTTATGATGCTATAACAACATCCCTTGAATGATTTATGGACATTGGGAAGTTATTATTTTTATGTTTATGAATATCTTGAGGGCCCTGCTTGTCTGCAAGAAGAAAATGGTGAGTGTGAAAGGATGAGATTCATAGCACTGTGTGCCTCATGAAATAACAATGATCAACACCCTGCAAGCCTCTCAAGCATAGGAATCTAATTATAGCATTTCCATAACAGGCCACTCTAAAATGATCCAAGCTGAATACTTTATGGAGTATCTGAGGAAATGGAAAGTTGTGTCGGATGTGCTTCTGGCTCAACACCACTGTAAGTTTAAATGGAGAACCAGAGAATATAGTAGTTATTTGCGGTTCAGAAATTAAAAGCATTTTTCAAATCTTCACAGTTTTGTAAATTAAAACGATGTGTCACTGTCATGAGGCTGGTTACAGAGCATGGAAGCAGAATTGTCCATTTGTGAACTGCTCTGTGTGGACACAGTGAAGGAACACGCCAAAAGATTCAGTAAAAGGATGTTAAATTAAATCACATAATTTATTTTAACTTTTTTTTTTTTTTGAATTGGCATACTTTGTACTACTACTTGATACTACTCTGTGAATTAATTTAACTTTTTCTTAATGTATGGGATATTATGTTGTGATATTTTTTAAGACATACTGTGCTCACTTTTTTTTTTGTTTTTGATGACTTTTTGGGGCATGTACTATGAATTTTCTTTAGCATACTATACTGTCTTTTTTGGCGTACAATATTATGACTTTTAATATACTATACTATGACTTGATTTGGCATACTATACTATTACATTTTTTGACATACTATACTATGATGATGTTTTGACATACTATACTATGACTTTTTTTTTTCGCATACTGTACTATGGTGACTTTTTGGCATACTGTACTATGATGATTTTTCTTTTGACATACTATACTATGAGATTTTTTGACACACTATACTATGATGATTTTTTGACATACTATACTATGACATTTTTTGACATACTATACTATGA